CTCTGGAGGTAGATAATATGTTCCATCATTGATTATCTGGAGAGTGTGAATAGAAAGACAACCAGGATGATTGTAGGCACTACTGTTGTTTAGCCTGGAGAAGAGATTTAGTAGGAAAGGTTGTTATGTGGAAGAAGTATTGGGCTTTTTTGGCTTCTCTCCCAAGGGTAGGACTAATAGCAGTGGGTGAAAGTTGCAGGGGCATTTATAGGCCTGATTTAAGGACAAAGCTTCCTAACTGAGGGCTATCCAAAAGTGGAATGGGCTACATTGAGAACTAGTCAGTTACCTCCACTAAAGAGAACATATTACCTCTTAAAGTCTGGAAGTCTTTAAGTAAAAACTGGGCATGATGTAGAATGGTTTCCTTGCTCAGATATAAGGTGAATTAGTCCCTAGGTTTCCTTCAAAATGTGAGATTTTGTCATTCTTTGAGAAGTTTGAGGTTCAGATATGAATTTTCTCAATTTACTGCCCCCATTTTTCAAAACTTGTCAGCATCATTACTTATTTTCTGCCCCCTCCTACTGTATCTCCTCGACAGTCACAGAAGAAGCAACATGATTCGTCACAGCTAAATCCTCTCTGTGTGCTTATGGTCCTATCTCCTACCTCCTTCAGGACTTTGCTCCAGTTGTCATGCATCTCTTTCATGCATCTTCAATCTCTCCATCTCCCTGTTGCTTTCCCATGGCCCTTCAAATGTGTTCATATTTCCACAATCCTAAATAAGTAAATTTCCTGTGATGCTTTTATGCTATCCATTTACCATCTAATCTCTCTCCTCTGTCTCAAACTTCCTGAGAAATTTGCTACACTCAGTGCCTCTACTTCTTTATTTCTTTGTCTTGAAATTTAGCTTCTGCTTATCACTTTACGTTGTTGTTCACTCATTTCTGTCGTGTCCAACTCTTCATGACCCCATTTGGGGTTTTCTTGGCCAAGATACTGGAGTGGTTTGCCATTTCCTTCTCCAGTTCATTTTACAGATAAGGAAACTGAGGCAAACAGAGTTAAGGGATTTGCCCACGGTCATGCAGCTAGTATTTGAGACTGGCTTTAAACTCATGTCTTCCTGACTCCAAGCCCAACGTTCTATTTACTGCACCACCTAGAAATACTCACCAAAGACCTCCTCAACACTGAATTGCTTCTAGGAGATAATATAAACTCCAAGTCCACTGGACATTTAAAGCTCTTTACAGTCTGGCATTACCCTACCTTTCTAGATGTATTTCACATCACTCTCGTTCCTGACCTCTACATTCTAACCACACTGACCTACTTGAGACTGTGCCTTAGCACAGACTATCCCTTATGCCGGGAATGTCCTTCCTCTTCCTCTTTCTCTTAGAATCTCAGTCTACATTTTCAGAGTGTGTTGTATCCCCCCCCATCCCACCCCTCTATCACACAAGCTCTGAAAAAGCGGAGACTATTTTTCAAATACACCTTTGAATCTTCAATATTTACGTAACTCAATTGTCTTGCTAACAATAGTTGCTTGATTAACTGTGGTGATGGTGATTCAATTATAGCAGTTGAAACATTTGACTATTCTATCCAACTGGATTCTTTCTCCTTCCTTGCCTTCAGGGAAACTCTACTTTCTTGGTTTACCTCCTATCTATATATCCATTCTTTTCTTTGCTTCTTTACTACCTCCACTTGTCAACCCCTTAAGTTGGGACTTCCCCATTCTGTCTTTGACTCTTTTCTACCTTGATTCTCTCTCAACAATCTCATTCATTCCCACAGTCATATCTATGCAGGCAGCTCCAAAATATTAACATCCAGCTTTCACTTCTCTTCTGAGGTACAAATCTACCTGTCCAACTACTTACAGTATACATCTAAGTTGGGTGCTCCATCAGCATTGTTCGGACATTATCTTTTCCCCAAACCTGTTCCTCCTTATTTCTGTAGCATTCAGGAATGGGTACCCTCTAATATTTCACTGTGTTAGTAGTGGTCTTTCTAGTCTTCCATATTCTAAACTGAGGAGTTATCTTAAGACTCTTCTATCTTCCTCACATCTATCCAGTCATTTATCAACCCCTCTTGGTATTATATTCACAATGTCTTTTGCATCCATTCTAGTCCACCATAAATCTAGCACCAGTCAACTTTTCCTATCTTACTTCATGATATTCCTTTCCATAATTGCATGTTCTAGCCAGACACTTTGGCACACACCCTGTAATTTTCCATCTTCATGCATCTGTTTATACTGTCTTTCTATACTTTCCATACTTGGAGTATTTTCCCTACCTTTCTTCATCTGTTGGATTTCTACCAAGAATTTAAAGCTCAATTTGAATATTACCTTTTATGTATAATATTCCTTGATCCCTCTACAGGTAACAACCTTTTCCTTCCGCTCTAATACTGTTCTCATGCATTACTATATTGCGTAATTATCACTATTTCTTTCTACTAGAATGTAGGCTTCATAAAGGCAGGGATCAATCATATTTTAATCTAAATGTATGTTCCCCAGAATCTGTCATGAAGCTTCCCCATGTAGTAGATGTTTAATAAATACATCTTAAATTAAAATAAGCCTAATGGTGAATTTCTTAAGAAATGTTTGAATTATGGCCATTTGTATTTCTTAAATTATAGAAATGAGAGCAAGTTACATACTTTTTATTTTTCATCCATTTTGGGAAGGAAGATAATTAAAAAATGAACTCATATTTGGCCTATGAATAGCCTGGTGTCAAAATAAGTGTCATTTCTTTCTTAATGCAGGGAAATTTTGAAAAATAATGTCAAACATTTTTTTCCGGTAAATTCAGTGTGTCCTATTTTTCCATGTGTGCAGGAATCCTAAATAAGAGGAAGATTCATTCTTTTATTTAGAGTTTTCAAATATTTTTAAAAAGTCATGAAGTGCTATTGCCAGTTTTATCATTAAGATAAACATTATAATGTTGAACCCACTTTGGCCTTCTAACATTTATGTAGTGTTGCTAATTGGCTTAACCTTCCTATCACCTGACTTGACCCTGTTTAAATTTCCAGTATAATATTTGCTCTGTGCTGCTGCCATATCAGCACTGTGATCTTGGCAGCAAATGGAGAATTTCTAATGTCATCCGTTGCTGGCAGGGAAATCTAACTTGCATTTTATTCTTTTTAGGCTGTCTAGAAAATAAAACACATCAATTTGGAATTTCCAGGCAATTTTACCACCTTAACCTTAGGCTTCTCTCATCTGGCTTCAGTCCTTAGCATTCTACTCCACCTGTTAATAACCAAATACAGTAAAATATAGTATTCTGCCTTCATTCTCTTCGACTTCTCTGCAATATCAGACACTGCTGACCATTTCCTCTGTCTGGAAATTCTCCTTTGGCTTCTTGACATTACACACCCCTGGCTCCTCTCCTGCTTCAATAACTGATCTTTTCTATCTCCTTTGCCAATTCCTCTTTCTACTTCTACCCCACAGCCAGTGGTCTCTTCCAAAGTTCCGTCCTTAGCTTTCTGCCTTCCTTTCTTTCTCTTCCTTCCTTTTCCTATCAGTCAATCAATCAGCATGTATTTCTTAAATGGCCACTATATGCCAGCTACCAGGCTAGGCGCTGGGAACATAAAGGAAAAAAAAGTCTCTGCCCTCAAGGAGCTTACATTCTACTATGGGACACAACATGCATATGTGTCTATCTGTGTATATGCAGGTATGCATATATGTATGCATGTATGTATACACATAAAATATATATTAAAATATATATGTTGTTGGAGAGGGGTGTACTACTACTAAAGGAGTGATCAAAGCTCTGATGTAAAATGTAGTGCTAGGGATTCTAAGAAGCGTGGATGAGGAGGTAGTGCATTCTGGATATGGGGGACTGCCAATGAGAATACAGGGAGATGGGAGATGGAGGATCCTATGTGAAGAACAGCAAGAATGCCATTTTGGTTAAACTGGATGGAGTATGGGAAGTTGAATAATGTGAAATATAGCTGGAAAGGTAGATTGGAGCCAGGTTGTGAAGGACTTTCAGTGCCAACAAAGGAGTTAATGTTTGATCCCAGAGTTAATATATGGTACCATTCTTGAGTAGTAAGGGAGTGACATGGGCAGAAAACCATTTCCTTCCTTCTCTTCATTCCATTTTCAGGTACATTTTCCATGCTATTCTCTAACTTATTTAAAAGCAGAATGAGAACTAAAAATGGACTTGATCTTAGATTATTTGCATTCCTATCTGTTTTTAACCTTAAATTTTTTTTTTTTTTTAGTGTGCTAGTTTAGGTTTTTGTATCTTCAGTAATGGAAATAATTTTCTTTCTTTGGAAACACTAGTTATAAGGGTTGTTGAGACTGGTAAGGAGTTGTTAAGAATTGTAAGTATTGGGATAGCTTAGAACATATTACTGAACACTGGCCCCACTCGTTCCCTCACTAAATGCTGGTGCCAGGTAGATTGGCTCAATTTAGCATGTCTACTATGCATAAAGCACTTTGGTACCTAGGAAGATAAAAAATGTAAATACAATTCTGCTCTTGCCTCAGAAGAGCTTATAATCTAGTAGACATTTCCTTTTCAAAATATCTCCATGTATGGAGAAACATGAATAATTGCTTTAAATGTCTTACTATAAAGAACTCTGAAGAAACACTCTGGGTTGTGGTTAATTTAACTAGAATTTAACTGAAATCAAGTCCAATTCTCGTCCTTTTCTATTAACTTCATGTTAGTTCTTGACTTCTAAAAATATGTAAATACTTTAAAGCTTATCTAAGATAGCTTCTCTATGTAATTTGAAAATCTAAGATATGTTGGTATTTAGATTTTTAGCAAAATGATCTACTTTCTTATTTTCTTAACATCACGTATTTTATGATTTTAGATGACTGAATTTGAACTACTTTTTAGATTTATAATTGTATTTGGGGGCATTACATTTAGGTCTAACTTTCTCAGACTAATTCAATGTTTATTTGACATTACATTTAAAATTAATATTTTGAAATTTATCAACAGGTATACAACATGTTTCAACACCACAGCCTTGGAATCAAAGTTAATATTCAAGTCACCAAGCTTGTACTTCTTCGAAACCGCCCTGTAAGTTCTCTCAGACACTTTGGATATTACAGAATACTTCTAATTTTTGAAAAATAACCTGTATGTGTGGTGTCAAGTATTTAAGAGGGTCCCTTCAGGAAAACCCTGCACTGATGCCTCATTTTGGCTTGGAGATGACCCTTGGTTCTCAAAAGGTACTCATAAAGTTTAGGTCCTGCAGGTCCTACCAAAGTAGACTGGCAGTAGCCTATTTTTGTTGCTCCAGGCCTAGCTAACGTAGCTGAGTAGCATAAACAGAAGATTGGTTACTAGGTGATGACCTTTTTGACCATGGTGACTCATGAAACCACAAAAAAATATAAAATGGATTTCATTTCTGTGTAGTTTGCCTATGACCACCTAGACCTTGAGTTAGGAAGTTTGTGAGTTCATATCCTGCTTCAGAGCTTTGTGACCCTAGGCAATTTATTTAATCTCTTCAAGCCATTCCAGTTTCTTCATCTGTAAATGAAGGGCTGGTCTCAATAACCTATAAGGTCCATTCTAGCTTTAAATCTATGATCCTATGATTCTGTGATGTTGGAAGCATTGAAAAATGTGGATTATAAGAGTAAATAATAATATGGTAGATAAAATAATCATTTATTAGATTATCTACAAATACTAATAGTGAACATTTATATAGTACTTATTATGTGCCAGGTACTGTGTTAAGTGTTTTATAATTATTATCTCATTTGATCTTCCCAACATCCCTAAGAGGCAGGTGCAATTATTATCCCCATTTTACAGATAAGGAAACTGAGGCAGACAGAAGTTAAGTGACATGCCCAGGGTCATGCAGCTAGTAGTGTCTGAGGGCAGACTTGAATTTGGGTCTTTCTGACTCCTGGCCTAATACCCTATCCACTGCATCATCCAGCTTCCCCTACCAACCTTACATGTCATCAGATGAAGTGATATTTAATATGACAGTAGTATACAGGTTGGTTATGGGTCGAGGAGAAAATGCGAGACCAGTTAGGAAATTTTTGCAGTGGTCTAGGCCTATTTTTTTTTTTTTTTGGTAAACTAGGACATACCACTAAACATCAAAAACAACATGATATTCAGTCTATCCTATCATTCTATCTACTAATTCAACTGTAGAATTTTACAAGTTAAGAGGTTCTGACACTTTAGTATTTTAAAATGAGACATCAGTCAAGTATGGCTTTGATTAAGTAGCCTTTGAAGTTTCTTCTAATATTAAGATCCTATGATATGATCACTCATCCGACATGTTGTAGACACGATTCTGGGTCAAGTACATTTGATGTACTTATTTAGATGGCCTCTGAAACACCTTCCAACTCTAAAAGTCTGTAATCTTTGTTTAAAAACTAATGGTTTTATTTTGCTACGTGTATGAATTTAGGCAAGTCACTTGACCTCTATGGACTTGAACTTTCTCATCTGTAAAATGAGCTAGTTTAACAAGATGACATCTGAGGTTCCTTTTAGCTCTAAATTCTTTGATCCCATGACTTCCAACTGGAGGAAGTAGGTAAATGAATAAATATTGAAATTCTCAAATGGGAGAAGAGCTCACAGGTTCTTCTCAAAGAATCACATAAAGAAATTGACAGAGTTGGTTTCATCAATTTGCCCAAAGGCAACTAGAAACATAATTTTATGGGTAATTGGGCATCTTATCTGACAGTGCCCAGGATAAGCACAAGCAAACAGCTAATCATGGAGATACCCACAACTTATGTGCCAACATCTTGGTTTCAGAGGATGAAGAGTAGAAAAACATGATGATAGCCTCCAAATTGTCAACCTATATTTTGATATTTGGTGACTTCATTATACAGGTTGGCCCAGGGGAGATGTGTTGGAAAACTATGTTGGAAAATATGGTTTAGAATCTAGAAATGAAAAAGGTCAGTGGCATATGAGCCATTCAGAAGCTTTACATCATGAATACTGCTGTATTATACACTGTACACCAGGAATAATTTCTTCAAGAAAAGGGTCAAATGATAAACCAAAAGTAAGGTTTATTGTGTCAAGTGATGAGAAATAACTGATTTCCACTGGATACATTTCAGAGTCAGGTATTTATGCAGGTCATATCATTCAAAAGTTAAGAGAAAGTGTCAAAATCAACACAAAATTAAAATAAAAGATGAAATGAGAAGGCATTGACTATGAATACAACATATTCAATCTGAACTATTTAAACAAGGTGCTTACTCCAAAAAATTGGAAATGGGCAAAATGAAACATCGACTCTGAAGATGACATTGAATGTAGGCCTCCTCAGTGAGATACGTAGTAATTTAAAAAAAATTGATCTTGCCATCCATAAAAAACCAAAGTGGATGAAAAATGCATCCTGCTCAAATTATATCATTCAGATGGACTTTTTTGGTCAAGCTAGTGTATTAGTATATTAACCTTGAATAGATGCTGAAGATAGAAAATTAGGTGAGCCCAAAACTGAGTAAGAGGAGATTGACCTGGATCTCATTAGGAAAATTACACAGTGCTTTCATTGATTCTAAGCTGTGCAGTATAGCAAAAGTCCATCTTTTTAACAATGATAGTGTTCTCATGATTCTACACAGTTGTAAATTATGGAACAGCAATCTCAAGAATTTAAGGTAACCGAAGGAAAATGAAGTATATGTGGTGGGTTTTTGTACATTGATGTTTAATCACCAACAATAACTTTCACATAAAAAAGTGATGCTAAGTTCCTCACCTAATAGCATGTATGACTAGAAAAAGATGTAAGCTAGTCATATCACAAGTCAAGGATAACACATGGACAAACCATGTATTCCACTAGCATCCCCAAAATCATAAAGAACCAGTGGTAGGTCTTCATCATATTAGATAGATACTCTTTAGAAGATTTGTGGAAAATGATGGATGAGAATCACTCAGGATCAAGAGGTGTGTATGTACTGTTACCTGTGTCAGAGAGGGAGGTACTGACACCAATGAGATTGTGGCTTCATCTAAACAATAAAATGTTTAAGAGCATAGCAAGGCAGGTCCGTTTAATCCAACCCTCCTGGTCTCAAAGGGACAATTATATGTCCTGAAGAGAAACAAAGTGGAGGTATCCCTTATTCCTCTACCAGATTCTCCATTTGTCATTTAAAAAATTGATTTGATCTGAATATTATTAAAATCTTGCCTTTTCCCTTTCTTTCCTTCCTATGCCCAACTCTCAAGGTCCTCCCTGTAGTGTGTATCTCAGTGGCATGGTCAATTTTCCTTGGATTGAGAAAACACCTGGGTTCCACTTGATTTTAGGATTTAACCATTTTATGGGTATTAGAGTGAACAAATTAAGGTGGAATATGATATACTATTGATACAAAGAGGCAGGAACAGATATCATATAAATTGAATTGTGTTTGGCACCACATTGTTTTTTGGCTTGGGAAGGGAAAGCCATTCTTTAGCAATATAGTTTTCATTTACCATCTTAGAAATGTGGCTGTTAAACATTTCTTTGGGACATTCTTTAAAGTTCGTTCCATTTAGGTTTAACGTGGTGGGTCTTTATTTGTGGACAAGAGGTTAAGTAAAGACATTTCAAGATTAGCTACATTGTCATGACTTTTACAGTAATCTATAAGTTAAAGAACTCTGAGGGTGGAGCCTGAACCTATGATTTTTTTTGCCGGTGTGGGGGGGAAGGGGAGCATAAGGAATTCATAGATGAGGAAATTGCCTGTGCTAATTCAGGTTAGCACCTTCTCTGCAATTCGTAATCTTAAAGTTGCCTAGAACACTTCAGGATTAAATGATTTGCCCAGAGTTTTATAACCTGTATTTGTCACAGAAAGGAGTTGAGGCTGAGTCTTTCTGGCTCCCAATGACAGTTCTCTATCCACTACATCAGTGGTGTCAAACTCAAATAAAAACAGATCACTGTGATCAATATATTGACTCAGAAACCCACAAATTAGTATTATCTATGTAGTATTGTATTGCCATTTATTTTCTTAAACATTTCCCAATCACATTTTAATCTGGTTCTTGGCTGCACTCTGGAATGTGTTAGCTTGTGAATTTGACCCTTCACTACATTATGCTGTCTCCCTGAATTAATTGAATGAAGTCTGATTTGCCTAGATATTCTCTTATTCAATTATCCTCTCCCTTTCCCCCCACCCCCGCCTTTTTTTCTCAGACTAAGTTGTCTATAGGGCACCATGGAGAAAGATCCTTGGAGAGTTTCTGTCACTGGCAAAATGAGGAATACGGAGGAGCAAAGTATCTTGGTAATAACCAGGTTCCTGGTGGAAAGGATGACACGCCCCCAGTGGATGCTGCTGTTTTTGTTACTAGGTAATAGAGATTTTATTTAGTTGACACATTTTAACTGTGCACAGTTAAAAATATTTAATTTTATGTATTTAAGAGTTTTCATAGCTCTCAAACAAAATTTGTAGTTCAAAATGAGGCTTGGTAAGGATTTGGAGCAAATTTGAAGCTACCTGTCAGTTGATTTGGGAATAATAGCTGAAGTAAAGATGTACCAACACAAATTTACAATTTTACATATGATATTTACTGTAGGAGTTTTTGGCAATACAGATCTTGCAGAGACATGTCAGAACTATCTGGTTTAAAATATGTTAGGATATATAGCTTCTCTTGAAATGTTATGTAAATTTAAGCTATTATTATTTAAATAGATTATATCAGATCAACATTCCACCTACCATTTAGGTACCATTTAAACTTCCTATGTATATACTGTTAGAATGAAGAAACTGTTTGACTAAATGAGCTCATCATGTGTCTAGGTCACAAAATTGGACCATACCTTCCTTAATTTGAGATATTCTTCAGTTGTAGAAATTGGAAAGCAAAGACTGTCTTTTGAAAACTGGCTTAAGCAATATTGATGTAGTTTATGCATCCCCTTTGCTTCTTTATTTTAAAAAACCTATTGGAGAAAAGCTTCTTTTTAAAACCATTAGCAATAATTAGCTGTAATGTCTACTAGAGATTCACTTCAATGATGCTTGTTCAGTTTGCAAAGTATCCAAATATTTTTCTCCCTAATTGAATTTATCTACTTGACGAAACTAAGTCTAAATATTTAAAAATGATAGATAACAGTAAAAAACAAAACCCTCTGGATCTTCTGGAGTAACTTTTAGTTGGGGAATTTTTTTTTTCAAATCAGGCATATCTTTTTTTTTTCCTGATTTGACATCCACCACAGTGTTGTACACCAAATAGGCATATGATTGATGTTTCAAGAATTGTGTTGAATTTTTTAAGAAGACATTGAAGGAAGGGGAATATAAAGATAAGATATCATGAGCTAAAAATATACCCTTAGGTCTCAAGATTATAGAAGCAATAAGTCATATCTAGTTGTTTGGAATTGGGATACACACATATATACACATATATAAAATATAACACAATGTATAATATATAAGATATTAAATCAAAATATATCAATAAACATAAAATCAAAATATATTAAAATATAAAATATTTGAGTATGTGTATATAAATATATATCTGTATTGTGTACATATATTGAGATATATGTGAAGATATATAAATATATATGAAGTGTATATGTACATACATATTACATATGTATTTACATATGCATTATTATTGAAATAATTTAAATAGATAAATGCATATGTTTTTATTATACATTGTATGCATATATATGTGTGTGTTTATGTTTACATATACATACATATATACACACATACATAAGGAGGTAAATATATAATCCTGGCTTTGCAAACTGCAGGTTCAAAGACCCCTTAAAGGTCTTTCATAATGTCGTTCTTTCTAGCCTTACCTAACATTATTCACTTTCAATTGTTCTACTGCCAAATCAGGCTTCTCTTTGTGCTTGGAAACACAAGTAGTACCCTCCTGCCTCTCTGCCTTAATTCACACTGTTCTTTGTGGCTGGAAGGTCCTCATCTTTCTCCATATTCTAAAACCCAACTCTAATGCCACTTCCCCCTTCCACCCCAGGGAGGGAAGTTCTCCCTAAGTCCTCTATTCAGTGATGATCTTCCCCCTCCAATTTTACATAGTACTTCATTTTGTAAATTTCCCTTTTTTAATGGATTGTCATTCTTTTCAGGTTGCATTTGACTTTTGAAAACAAAAAGAAATTAAAAACCAACTGATAAAAAAGATGAGGGATCAAGTTGGGCATATAATTTTTGGTAAAAAATAGAGTGATTTGTAAGGTGACTTTTCTTGTGTTTCATATACTGACTGAATACACTTGCAAAAATCAGATTTCAAAAAATATGTCTCAGGAACAGTAATGTCTTTGGAAAAAGTATATGGACTCCCAAGATAATTACTTTGATAACACTTCTTTGGATTTTATATATTTTGATGTATTTGTTTTAAAGTAATCTCATTACCTTATAGTCCTATCTTACACTAGTTTCTTCTTAGTAACATTCTCTTTCTCTGTTGAGTTGACAAAATTATTGTGAACGGACTTGTTGGGAATATTCGGGAAGCACTGTCACCAGAACAAGAGCTAATAAAGCTCAGCCCTGTTCAAGAGTCATCATCAGACATGAAATCATCTTCAGGCATTTTTTTTAATATTTTCCTTAACACGTTGGTAATATTTTGTCTAAAAATGCTTCCTAATTGAAGTATATGGGACAAGGTCATTTTAGAACACTGTGGTGCTTTGTGTTGGTATTCATTAAAGAAGAGACTGAAGTGTACTTTATGGTAAACAGAGGGAATTCCACAGTCTGGAAAAGGCAGAGTTTCTTCAGTTGTAAGGGAAAGGGTGGATTGTTTCTACATCTTTGTGGTGACTGTGTTGGGAAAATTCTTAGTTTCTGTCTATTCTTTCCTGACTTTCTTTATGCATCGGTCTTCCTTCTTTGATTTCATTCATTCAGCAAACATTTATTAACTGCTTACTGTGTCCCAGGCAATAAGCATTAATTATATAAAGTAAGATCATTTTAAAAAATTAACCTTTTTTTGGAGAGAGTAAGGAGAAAAGGTTGGGGTAAAATCATATACATACAGCTCCACCTATGAGTCTTTGTCAAGCATCACGTTAAAGACAGCAATGTGGTATAGTGGAAAGAGCACTGGATCTGGAGTCAGAAATTTAAATCCAGCCTTAAATACTTACTAACTTAGGGATCTTATCAAATCATTTAACTTAAGTTTTCCCATATGTAAAATGAGGATAATAATAGGTAATATTTATACAGCACTTACTATGTGCCAGGCACTATGCTAAATGCTTCCCGGTTATTATCTCATTTGATCTACACAACGACCTTGGGAGGTAGGTGCTATTATTATCCCCATTTTACAGATGAGGAGACTGAGGCAAACAGAAGCTAAGTGTCTTGCCCAGGGTCACACAGATAGTGTCTGAGGCAGATTTGAATTCAGATCTTCCTGACTCTAAACGTGACAGTCTAAACAGTGTGCCACATAGCTTGCCGAGGTTGTTGTGGGGATATAATTAGATAATAGTAAAGTGTTTTGCAGACCTTACAATACTATATAAAGGCTAACTATGGCAGAATTGTAAACTTGGTAGGATTCAGTAACTTGAATATAACTGTTGGTGATCCCAAATGGGCAAAAAGATGATGTTTAGCTGTTGGAAAGCTGTAGCTGCTCAGGTAGTGATAATGATAGGCATGAAGAACACGTCATTTTATGAAAAAAAATGGGTATGAATATTTATGTTCTTTAAAAAGTGATTGCATTTTTCCAGAGTAATCTTATATTACCCAAATATCTAGTTGTATGCTCCACAAAGCAGACAGTGTTTAGAGTGAATGCTTGCCTTGAGGGTCGTGAATCCTATTACTAGCCAACTATACAATCCTGAGCTTGACTATATAATCCTGGATGCTCACCAGCCTTGACAGATGGACCAGCAATAGAGGATATGAAAATGACATCATATCCAGCCAAAACAGGCGAGCCAGAAAAAGCAGGAGCTGGGCTTGCACAAGTTACAGCTGTGGAGAAGACTAGAAACCGCCCCTGCAGGAACTAGGCTCTTTGGGAATGTTGCAGGCAGAGTCATGTGGAGGACTGCAACTATAAAGGAGAGTCAGGACCTTTTTCTATTCCTTTCTCCATCCTGCCCTCTGCTCTTTAGGTGATTCTTACCTCTGGCCAACAACCATTCCCTACAAACTAGGAAACAGGCATTTTCCCACCAACCCCTCCATTTCTAGTCAGTGCCATGACGATAAAGCAATAGAAATGCCAAGGGAAATTCTTGTAAGGATAATGAAAAAGAGGACAGTCTTGTTGAGTGACTCTCTATAGACATCCATTTGTTCCCTACTCATCTTCAGCTCCTAGTTTAACTCCAGATGCTGCTCAGTAAATCACACACACACACACACACACACACACACACACACACACACACATACATATATATTTATTTGTTTTTTTAATGCAGCATTATATTGTCTCAGTTGACATGATATTTGAAAGTACTTGGCAAATCTTAAAGTTATTATTATGATGATAATGATCATTGTCATCATCATAGCTTTGTGAGTAGTGGGTACCTAGCATAAATCTATTGGTGACCATGGCTAGTTCTATCAGGTTTCCAAAAATTGGTGAGAAGACACGGACTGCTTCAAGCAGCCCATGTGAATGAGTGCAGAATGGGAATTTTGGCTATTTGGTAAGTTTCCCAAAGTTTGTTTCATGTGAGAAATGAATAGAGGAATCCAAAGATGATTTTTAGAGGGTAAGTAACCTTATTGGAGGGCGGCTAGGTGATAACAGTGGGTAGAGTGCCAGGCCTGGAGTCTGGAAGTCTGGCCTTAGAAACTTACTAGCTGTGTGACCCTGGGCAAGTCACTTAACCTTGTTTGCCTCAGTTTCCTTATCTGTAAAATGAGCTAGAGAAGGCAATGACAAATAACTCCAGTATCTTTGCCAAGAAAATGCCAAATGGAGTCACAAAGAGTCAGACGTGACTGAAATAACTGAACAACAAACCTTACAGGAAGAAAATTTTCTGAGTACAAAAATAATTAATACCACCCTACTTTAATAGATTAGGATAAAGAATACAGTTCCTGACTATTATTTCTTTTGAGACTGTATTCAGCCAAAGCAGAAGAGGCCTCAGGCCAAACTAATAAAATAATTCTCATTTCTGATTTGATTACAACTACTTGCTTTCTTTGAGGAAAGAGATAATCCCATCTGCCTTGCTGAAGTATAATAATGTACTCCATAATGTACTGGAGTGTTGAATTACATGTTTCAGACCACCAGATTTCCTTTATCATGGAAGTGTAGAACATGAGAAGCAA